TTTTTTTTTTTAATTTTTAAAGAAAGGCCAAATTCCCCTCATTTATCTGTCTCTCCCTATATTCTCTCTCAAGTGTTTACTTCTCTCTCATCTTAGCCAAGTTCTTATTAGCTGCGTCAAGGGCAAAGTCCCCGCGGTGAAATTCCCTTGCGAGACGAAAGATCTGCAAATCTCTCCTCCTTCAATCCCTTGTTCATCGCTTTGTTGATGTGAGGAAAATCTCTCTGCGTCGGATCTGGATTGATTGGGAGGCTGTACCGGGAGCAGGAACTGACTTTTCGACGTTTCTATATCGATTCCAGGTCAGTCGGTTCTTTGTTTTCTCGGTCAACTTTCTCGGCTTCCAAACGCCAGTCGTTCTGCTTCGCGTTGTGTTTTGAAGTTTTTTTTTTTTTGTCATGCCTTGATTCATCAGATCCGGTGTTGTTCGTTTGTTGAATTTTGATTGAGATGTATGATTTTAGTTCTTGTTTTGTGAGCAGGAAAATGTCTTCGTGGTGAGGGAAATTAGGATGTGTTTAGTTTGTGTTTCTTTGATTTTTCCGTGTTGAGTCGGTTTCTGCTACTATGTTAATCGCCTTTTAGAAATGAAATTATGTAGAGGATGGAGCATGGAGTTAATTGGATTATAAATTTGGGCTTTGAGCAATCAAAAGGGTGTAATGTTAAATGACCTGTATCTATTTGTAATTGGAGGTCATTTGGAGAAAATTTAAGCAGACTAGATATAAATTGTCCATTCTGATGCTGTCTTTGTTACCTCTGCATAATTCTTGCTCTTCATTTATGTAGAAAGCTGAGATGGCAAGTCGATTGAAGGAAGAAGAGAAAAATGAACGAATAATTCGGGGTCTTCTCAAGCTTCATGACAATCGAAAGTGTATTAACTGCAATAGTATGGTAAGCTATTTGTTTTTTCCTTTTACTGTTGATACTTTGATCCAGTTATATGAAGTGCAAAGCCAGAGTCATCCGTTTCATAGTTGTGTCATGAAATCACATGACTTAGATTAAGAGACTAAATGGTTTTGTGTAAATTGATAATCAGGTATGAGGTGGAAGATGTAAGTTTATTTTAATTTAGTTAATTAGTTCCATCTGACATATTCTCTCTTATGTTGGTCAGAGCATAATCGGTGGGATGAAGTATAGCTAATTACAGGGAAATTAAGATGAATTGGAAATTAAGATGAATTGTAAAGTAATTATCAAGCAGAGTAGGTGTTAGATCTTAGCGTGGTTTCATTTAGTTCAATTTTTTGAGTCATCAATCATGTTAATTGAAGTATTAAAGAACGTGAGTGACAAAAATTACTGGGAAAAATAGGAAGAAAAACCAACTGTGAATAACTAGGATCAAGTGTGATTATGCCCCAGATCAAAAATGAAATACTTGGTCGAATATTGCTTTTGGCAATTTCTACTTTGAGGTTTGTTCTTTATGTGTAACTTTGGAGTGCATATATTTCTTCCATTAATGTGGTGTTAACTTATTTTCTGGCAAGCAGGGACCACAATATGTTTGCACAAATTTCTGGACGTTTGTATGCACTACCTGTAGTGGAATACAGTAAGTGCACAATAGTTTGGGTGCCCTATGTTATTTCCTATATTCTTTTCACTATTCCTTGTATCCCAGGCGTTAGGTGCTTTTAATATGACTTAGGAAATGAAAGTAATTCACTTAGACTGACTGACTTATCCATTTGAAATGGTTTCCAGTCGAGAGTTCACTCACAGAGTAAAATCAGTGTCGATGGCTAAATTTACTTCACAAGAAGTTACTTCTCTTCAAGAAGGAGGGAATCAGGTATAGATCAATCCTTTATCTTGCTCATTATCCTGACTACAACCCAGAAAAAGAAAAGATTCCTTGTATATCAATGTAATTTCAGTTTCATTATAGATATTCTCAGGTTCTTATTTTGGTCTTGTGTGTTTATGCAGCGTGCAAAAGAAATCTATCTTAAAGAATGGGATCCTCAGCGTAATTCTTTTCCTGACAGCAGGTTGTTTACTCATTTATTGTATTTTTTTTCTGAATCTCATTAATGGATACAGTTCTGATTCAAAGTATTTGCTTCCAGCAATGTTGAGAGGTTACGGGACTTCATTAAGCATACATATTTGGATAGAAGATATAGTGGTGAAAGGAACTATGACAAGCCTCCAAGGGCAAAGATGGTAAGTTGGTCTCCCTCCTTCCTTAACATTAATTTCGATATTGATTGGGTATGATGTTAAATTTAATTTTATTAGGAACTGAATTAACTGTTCAGCCTGACTTATGAGCTACATAAGATGTAATCTAAAACTGCAAGAATTCACTGATATGTGAAATCAGCCAAGTTAAAAGTGCTATTTTTGTATTATCATTATTATTGAATTATAATGCAGGGCGACAAGGAAGACTTTAATGACAACAGGAGAAAAGATGGATATCAAGGTGGGTCTAGAAGCCCACCATATGAAGATTCATATGAACGCCGTTATAGTGAAAGGTCTAGTCCTGGGGCAAGAAGTGATGACAGAAATTCTAGATATAATTATGATGAAAGAAGAAGTCCTGGATATGATCAAGAAAGTCGACAGTATGGTGATTACAGAAGAAGTCCTGCTCGTCCTGAGATTGTCAGTGATTGGCGCCGCGAGGATAGATTTAGTAATGGGAGGAAACCTGAAGATCGCAGATCATCTGATGGAGATTCCAGGCTGGAGGGGAGATCACCTGAGCGACCAAAAGATCTTGAATCATCTAGTCCCCCAGTTGTTCGGCCTGTTAGAGAAATTTTGGGGGAGAATGTATTGCCTCTTCGAATACAAGAACCTCCAAAAGCAAATGGTAGCAGGACTGCCAATGCCCCCCTGCAGACACAGGTAAGTCCTTGATTCTTCTGAACTGCCTTATTTTGATGTTTTGATCATGGATGGTTTCAGCCTCATTGTTCCTTTTCTTTTGGTCATCAATTTTCTTTTTGTAATTTTTTATTTTTTAGATGACGGTAGTGGTTCTCTGGTTCTTTGAGGGTTCCATTTATGGTGTTGAATTTTCATCTATTAGCAACCTTAAATAGGAGACTCTTGAGGGCATGTCTCTATTCTGACAATCAGAATGAGAATGTGATTTTATTCAATTTGTTTTCTGCCTAGTTAATCTTTCACCCACTTTGTGGTTAGGTGAATTTGTATGATGATTATTAGCTTAGCTGGTTTGGATTTTGGCTTTCATTTTATAACTTTCTCTGCACTTATTTTCTGCCATGCTTTATACAACTCTCTCTCATGTGAGCATTTTAAGTAAAATATCTAATATACTACAATGTCATTTATCTACCATATTAGGCATTTTGCTGTATTTTACTGGTTAAACATTGTCTATGAATGACTTCATAGTCATTCATTGAGTTATATTTTCCTTTTCCATTCCCGCTCAATATTTTTTTGCAGAAATTTTAAGGTGGAGGGAAGACTGACTTGCTTTACTGTTACATCTAATTGCAGAGAACTGCATCTTCCAGTAGCTTGGGATCTGTCAATGATAGCCCAACAGAGGTCAAGTTGAAGACTACTGTGAGCTTAATAGATTTTGATGCTGATCCTGAACCTCCAGCGGCTGCAACAACAGTTACAGCACAGCAGACAACCATGACTCAATCCATTGTGCAGCCAACAAGTTCTGCCAATGACAATAATTGGGCCTCTTTTGATAATGCCGTTCCAGCTCAAATATCTCAAGCCCCATCAAATGTGAATTCACTGGATTCTGTTCTTTCTCAATTGTCGGTTCCAGCACCTATACCTGTTCATCCATCAGGACCACCCAGTAGTTTTGCTGCTCCAGTTGCTACATCTCTGACCAATACCTTGTCACCTCTTGCTGGTGATTTAAACACTGCACCCATTGCACATGGACAAACAACACCCTTGGGTGCAGGCGCTCCTACTTCTGCCCCTACTGCACCAGTTGGCAGCTTCTCAACATTTCCTTCTAATGGTGTTATGTCTGCAAACCCTGGAATGATAACTGTGAGTGGTGGTAGTTCCCTTGTAAACATAAATGATGCTGGGCAATGGCCTAGTATGCAGCATCAGCAACCTTCTTTGGTCTCTCCAGCGGTTTACCCATCTCCTTCTCAACAATTTGTGCAACCAGTGGATGGAGCTCAAGCAACTCAGGTGGGCCATGCAGTTTTCTAAGTTTTATACATTAACTTAATTTTAGTTTAATGAATTATTTATTTATCTTGTTTCATCATATATACCTTTTTGGCAGCCAAGGAATTTTTCAGTATCCCAGAAAATGCATGGACCTTTCAGTACACCAGCAGCACAGGCACCTCAAGCTATCTCAAATATCAGCCAGGTGGCCACTTCCACTGGTGCATTGCAACCTTCTCCCATTGAAACAGAGTCAACTGGAAGAAAAGAACTGCCTGAGGTTTTTCTCCCCCCTAAATAGAGTTAAGTCAGTTTTATATGTTTGATCCATTGCATGATTTATGGTAAATCCTTAATTATTTGCAGGGTCTATTTACTGCAACCTATCCAATCTTTCTTGCTCCAGTTCCAGGATGGCATAGTGGTTTTCCCCGTGGCATGGGGTTTCCTATGCAATATAATACTGCAGTGGTATGTGTATGCCTCAAGAACAAAATATTTATGAGTTTTTATACTTTACATAATTGCATTTAGTTGATTGAATAATGACATTGTTTTTCTATGGGTCTTGCAGCTACAGCAAATGCCAACTTTTCCACAGTCATCAAGGTCAATAAACCCATTTGATGTCAACACTGAAGCACCTGCAGTTCAAACCCAAACAGTATGTTTAATTGTTACTACTCTCGTTGACATATTTGCATTTGAGATTTATTGAAAAAAGTAGGAAGCTTAGAATTGTTTTTATTTGTATTTTTATATTGTCTTACATCATCCTACAGGATTTAGTTTTCTTGTAAACATCTAGCAAGAGTCTGAAAAGAATAGGATGTTATTGCTGGAATTTTCCTTATGCTGTATAACTGTTTTACTAAGCCTGTACTCACCTATGTCTGTGTGGAAAATTGGTCTAAACTCTCTACCTATTGCCTCACTTGCAGTTTCCTTCAATGGGTTCCTTGCAAGGTGCCTTGCCAAATATGCCACTACCTTCTGGCCTAGTGCACACTTCTAGCCTTGGTACTCCACCAGCAAGGATGCCGCCCCAGTCATTACCTTCTGCATCAGCAATGCCATCCCAGGCCCTGCCTTATGCATCGGCACTGCCACAAAGTAAATCTGCAGTGTCTTTTGCCACTTTCTTTTTTAATTATCTGTTTTTAATTTTTTTTTCCTTTTATATCTGCTAAATTCTTCAAAACCTATCAGGGACATATATGGGACCCCAAGGACCAAATACCATGATGCCTCCCAGGTAACTATTCCTATTTTCCTAAGATAAATTATATTTATGTACAATTTCATATGTGAAACAGAAGTGAGGGAGGAAAAGAAACAAATGCTAAAAGGCTAGAGTCTTAGTGCATGTATCTTTTAGTCACTCATGCAAGCTTGGGACTTGTTATGTTTGTTTTGTGGTTACTGGGTCTCTTGTTGCCACTTATAGTCTGATAATTTTAACCTTGTTGAATGGTTATGTTTCTAATTGACATTGATCCTTTGCTTTTCAGCCATCAAGTTGGTGGCATTGGCAGCAAGACAGGTTTTGGCTTCATAAACATGGATCAACAGTTGGCCAGTGGGTTCTCAGCACCTGCTACCCAACGGCCTTCCTCTTCTTTTGGGGGGAACCCATTTGGATGAACCCAAAGAACAGAGACTTGTTTACACCAGGTCAGGTTAGGCATCCTCTTGTTGGTACCAATCAAATTGCTGGACGGAAAGTTTTGGTTTTACTTGCATGATCCTAGCCTTCCATCAGATCTATTAATTCCCAGCTTCGGGGGTAAGGGTCTGATATTCACAACTAGCAATAGAAAATTATTTAAATTCTGTATGAGATGAGTATCAGTTTAAGAAAAAGAAAAAACGCGTACAGTATGGGGATTTTAGGTTATTTTTTTTGTGCAGTCCAGTTATGATATTGTATCATTCCTTTCTTGTTTTCTTGTTTTGTATTATATTTCATTCCCTTCATTGTTCTGGTGAGCGCTTTGAGTATACGAAAGTCTTATGGAATAACGACTGATCGTTGGCGCAATTTGTGTGCTAATAATTTTAAATATTGAGATGATATTTGTTTAAGATACCGTACGAAGTTTGCTCATCTTGTTTGACTGTGTTGCCTTATCTACTCAAGCTGTTGGCATATGTCATACCAACTAATCAGTTGTGTTATATATTTGTTTCTGCTTTGATATTTACCTACCACCATTTTGTCGCTTTTTGGTGCTCTTTGTATAATGAAAATTAAAAAATTCTTTAAGAGCTAATCCCTGATTGGACTGAATAAAAAATAGTTATTGACAAGATTTATAACATTAGGAATAAAAAAGTGCGAAATGGCTGTGGGATTTATAGACTGAACACACAGTCTGCATTGTGAGACTCACGTGAATATAATAGAATACTTTTGATCGCACAACAAATTATAGAAGTTATATAAATTTTTTAACTTTATTTTTTAGAATATTAATTTTGTTTATTTTAACTATTAAAAATAATTAATAATGGTAAGTAATAAAATAATTGGTATTTATTATTTAATTAATTTTAATAAATTAAAATTAATTTATATTTTAATATTTTTAAATAATAAGACTCACTATTTATAAAAAAATAAAATAAAATATGTATGATTTAAACACTTTTAGTGCGTGATGTTAATCGGCGAAAATCCTTGGTCAGCCCTTCATCTTATTGATTATGAGAATATCAGTTCCTTAATTTATAATATGAAAATTTTAGTCCTTTTATAATATGAAAATTTTAGGCCTTTATCTTACTGATTATGAGTATTAGCTCCTTAATTTATAATATAAAAATTTTAGCCTCTAAGTTCTTTAGATTAAATGAAAAAACTCAAAATTAATGACAGTGCCAAGTGCTCATTATAATGTTGTCATCCATTGCCACGTCATCACCAACATGGCAATTTCTTGTCATTATGGATTGCCATAGTAGATAATAAAAGTTAGACTTAACAAATTAGTCAACTTCGTTGAGTTTGGATTGGGTTAGCTCAAATTTTAAGTTTGATCATTTCAAATTTTAGGTTAAAGAAATAAATTTATGATTTATCCATA